AGAATTCTAGATTCCAGCCAAAACTCCGAAGTTGCGAAATCCTCGTTCGGGCACGAAATCGAGCTGCGTTTGTTGCCACACGATCTTGACGGCATGCTCCGTGTGATTCAATGAAGAAATCGTGAAGAAATGTCAAGAAACGAGCACAATATCGATCCAAAGTTTTCAAGATTCATCCAAATTTCAAGTCTCATGATAGTAGCTTAAAAACATGATCCATGGCTCGAAGTTGGTATCAAATTGATCGCTATGTCAAACCCTATAAGAAAACAATCATCTTTTTTACAAACGGGCATCAGAGCAACCCCAGATCATTTATAGAAGATCACACATGTTCTATGGCAACAGCAGCGAATGTTTTGAAATTCCATGTATTGTTAAGCAATGGCAAAACAGTTATTTTATACCTATTTTTAGAATTTCTTTTAATTCAGTTAAATCTTCATTTTTAACAATTAAAGTTAGTTTTGATCAATCCACCCATATTTGAGCAAAAGACTATATATATATCATGTGATATCATTGTTTAAGGGACCCCACTTTGCTTAATAAAATTTCAATCTTTCAAAAATTGTTGGGTCATGGAAGAGAGAGGAAAGAAAGAAATTTTTGGGGTACCCTTGGCCTTAACATAAATCTCTTTCTCTCTGTTTCTCTCTCCTCTCTTTTTCTCTTTCTTCCTCTCTCCTCTTTCACAAACGGCATAATCCTATCACCATCCGTGTTTCACTCTTTCTTCTACCTCTCTTCTTCTCTCCTTCCCTCTCTATGGTCCCTCATGACCGCTCTTCCCTTCTATCTCCTGGTGGTCCCTCAGGTCCACTTCCCACGTCCTTTTTGCTGGGCTACCTGCATGTCTACTTGTTTCCTCTACACCCTCCAGTCCACCTCCCTTTTCTTTCTCAGGTGCCCTTTTCTTTCTCAGGTAGTCCCTCATGTCCGCCTCCTTTTCTCACATTACTCCTCTTTTTTTTTGTACCTTCCCATCACTCCTTTTTCGTACCCTCATGTTTTATTTTTCCTTCTCATGATTCATAGTCCCGCGTGATCACCATCCTAAAACCTTTCTTTCTTATTGCCCTTTGCAACCATCCTTCTTATTGCCGCCTGCTAACAAACCTTACCGCCCGCCATTTCTAACGAACCTTATCGCCGTCTGTCTAACCCATCTTCCTATCGCCGTCTGTCTGACCCATCTTCCTATCGCCGAATATGCAACCTTTCTCCCTATCGTCGTCTATGCAACCCATCTTCCTATCGCCGTCTGTGCAACCCATTCCTATCGCCGTCTGTGAACATAACCCCATCGCCATGTGCGAACGCAACCTCATCGCCGTGCGCCTCTTCTTCCCTTTCCTCAACCTACTGAGCACGCGCACCACCATTGCCGTGCGTTACCATTTTCTCCTCCACCCTGCCTCATTTGTTCCTCTCTTCACCCTTCTTTTACATCTGTTCCAAGCATCTATACTGCAATTTCCACCTTCTTCCTACACCCAAAACTCATCCTCCATCTTCTTCTCTACTCCAACCAGCAGCCAACCACACCAGCCACCCTGTTGCGCAACCATCTCATGACCTCGCAGCCAACCACACCAGCCACCCTGTTGCGCAACCATCTCATGACCTCACAACCAGCAGCCAACCACACCAGTCACCCAATTGCGACCAATTCCACCACCTCGTAACCAAGCCGCTCCCTTTCTTTGCAACCTGTTGTCGCCCCCTCTCCCTGCCATCTCGGTAACCCATCTCGCCACGCTCCCTTCTACTTCTCCATTATTTGCAGCCAGTCCTCTCTCTCTCCAAAGAACACCACCATAAAAACCTTCACCACCCTTTCTGCTATCCACGCTCAGCCACCTCCCCTTCTCTCAATCGCAGCCCCTTTCCTTGTGCTCTGCTACCACCACTCTCCAAATCCCTGCCATGGTCTCTTCTCCTCCTCCCACTTAACTTCTCAGCCACCTCACCTGCCCATCCGCCACCGCTCTCTCTTCCATCCTCCGCAACTTCCATTTACTCTGGCACCAATTCACTTCTTCGCTCCACCGTACTGCTGCAACTATTGCCGCCATTCTCTCACTATCTCTCTCGCTCACCAGTTCCCTCTCGTTGACCTCTTTATTTCGCACAAATCTCCTCTCTGCGCCTCCCATCAGCCTCTCCACGAACTTTCCTCTGCAACCTCTCGCTTTCTTTCTCTAGAACCCACAAAAGAAACACACTCTTTCCTTTCTGTTCGTTGTTTCGTTTTGTTTCGGTAAACTTCGTTCCACTCCCCTCACGATATTTCGTTGAAACCCAGTAACCAACAAAAACTCTCTCTCTCTCTCTTTAAAATTTAAACTTTAAAAACCCAATAATCGACGAAAGCTCACTCTCTCTATTTAAACGTTAACAACCCAATAACCCAACGCCCTACTTTTGTCTCTCTCAACTAATCCATTTTTCTTTTTATTATTACTTTATTAAGCTATTTCATTTTGCTTTTTCTACCCCTTTCTTTTAGTTTTATTCCATTTCGTTCCCTTCCATCAATTTATTTTATTTTACATATCATACATGTTTGCATAATTTTTGTCTACCGCAATATGTATGATATGTAAATTGGATGCCTCCTCTTGAAGACTATATTAAGCTGAACTTCAATGGAAGCTTAAATAGGAATCCATGCTTTGCAGATTTGGTGGAATCATTAGAGATCATATGGGCAACTATAAATGCACTTATTTGGGGTCATACAGACACACAACAATAAATAAAGATGAGGCAAGAGCTCTATTGAAATACTTAAAGATAAAAATCTTGAGGGCCATAAGATGGTTGAAGGTGATGCAAGCAATGTCATTGCTTGGGCAAAAGGAGAACCGAACTTTTTATCGCTCTTTTGATCTATCTCATTGCTTTAGGGAGGCTAATATGAAAGTTGATATATTGGCAAAGGGTTAGTGTACACCAACCATCGTCGATGGTTACATCCTTTCTTTCTTAAATCTCCCTCGTAATCTTCTTTGAGTGAAGGAAATTCCTAGTAACGATTTTAAAAAAAAATCGTGCGTGGTACACGTAAAATAGAATACAAAAACAGGATTTCGCACATACCTACAAATGGGTGTACGAAGAAGATATGGGAATTCGCGATTCACCGTTGCTGGAGGACTTCGAGCGCAAAATGGGGTCTTCCGCTTGTAGTTGATGCGAAGAAAGAACCAGTTGGAAAGGAAGAGAGCTACGGTTAAGGTGGGTAAGAGTGAGAGAAAGCAAGGAAACAAGTGAAAGTGAGAGATGAATGGGGGTTGCGGGGGTATTGTAATAACAGAAGATATGTAGTAAGAGTACTAAACTTGTTTCTGTTGGAAATAAAAAAAGAAGCACCAATATTTTTGTACTCATACACTTAACATGCTTATGTGAAAAATTATATATAAAATATATTCGATACTAAAAGTACTAGACCGATTCAAAAATAAAAAGGAGTATTGAGCTATGCCCAAGGAAGTTAAACCCAAGAAAATATTTGGTGCTCTCAATACCGAACATTATCGTTTACGACTTACTCAGTTCAATACTTAGAGCGTCAAACTTAAATCAAGTATGTTTGAAAAGCTAAAAAAGTCGGAAGAAAAGAAACGTCAAGATAAAAATAAAAAATTCCTATAGATTTTTAGATATCCCAAAAAAGAGGTATTTTTGTTAATTTCCCATTACAAAATTATATGATTTTCTAAAAAAAACATTTATATAAGGTTTGAACTTTATATATATAAGGTTTGAACTTTATATTGTAGGGATAAGATGCACCTCAAAAATCCACCTCCAATGGTTTTCTTGACGTCGAAAAACCTACAATCAATCATCTTCACCTCGAGATATATAGATATAAGAAAAACAGATTTAAAGTTTTAAAAATTATACATCTTGTAACACATTAATTAGATCGTCCATTTTTCAAAATTTTAAGTGTTTATAGATCTTCTCCATCTACATTATTTTTTAGCTTTAAATCTAATAATTAGGTACAAAAACATATTTTAAGGCCGTCTTAAGGTTTCTCCACCACGTCTACATCTTTTAGCCACATTTAGAGGTGTGCCTTTCATTGTTCAAGGTCGACACCTTGAACAACTACAAACCACATCCTTTTCTAAATTCAAAACTTACTATGCATTCCCATAACATTTATAATTTTCCTACATCCCCTATCCCCCAACCGTCCGATATGAATGGAAGACTAGGATGACTTCTGCCATAAAATCACAAGTGAGCCGCATACCGTATACTTTTTAGATTTAAGGTCTCAAAATATTTTATTTAATTTTATTATATAAATCATATGAATATGAACTTTAGTGCGTCTCATCATCTCAATGAAGCACACCTAAAATAAATATTAAAAATATATTTTTTAAAAATAATATATCCAAAATATCTCTGAAAGTTTCAAGGATATTTTTAAGATCGAGAATTTACCTAGTTTGGATCTGAAACCCAAATTTCGAACCCTATCCGGATCCTGGTATGGATCCAAAATTTGGATCTTACCGGTCGGATCTAGATCCAAGATTTGCATCCAAATAGTAATTCAAATGAGATATGGGTATAGGTTGATCCGATCCAGATCAGACCTTGTTATTAAAATATTTTACTATATATAAGAAAAAGTTTATATAAGGTTGCAACTTTAAATGTAGAATTACATATGTACCTCAAAATTCCATCGAAAAATATTGTTTTCATGTTGAAAAACCCTCTAATTGATTATCTCAAAATCGAGATGTATGAATATTAAAAAAAAAAGATTAATGAGTCTTAGAGATATTTCATTTTGTAAAGATTATCTAGACTGTCAATTTTCAGATCGGATGGCTCGGAGATTGCACAAGAACGAAAAATATATATGGGAAGATGTATAGTAGGTTTAACCCTTTCCAAATACCGAAAAATAAGAAATATTTACATTGGTTTCGGAAGAAAACACAAGTAAAAAGAAAAGCATCTCAAAACGCCGCTTTCCAACTCCAATGATAGGCGCGCTTTCTCCTTTTTCACGCCATTTTCACCACCCCTCCCTCTTGTCTAAACTCCTAGTCCATTTTCCTCTCTCTGCCTTCCCGGTCCTTCTTGCATTCATTTCCAGCGTTCTCTCTGGAATTATTGCCAGTCCTTTTTGCATTCATTTTCAGCTCTCTCTCTGGAATTTTGATCCAGGTATGTCTTTCTCTGTCATCCTGCGATCTGTGTTATAAACATTCATATGGATCTGAGCTTATTTATTGCCCTTTTGGCCCTTTTCATGGCGATGTTCTCTAGTTAGAATGACTAAATTGCTTGTCAGAATGAAATCTTGGTCATTTTTTATGTAATTTCTGGGTGATGTGGTCCGTTTTAGGTGAATGCTGGATTGGGTTTTGGTTACAGTGCTGTATCCCAGTGAAAAGCTGATCTTTTTTCTTATAGGGGGGGTGATTCAGTGTTTGGTTGAGCAATGGAATCAATTATTGGCAAGGCATTGGAATACACGCTTAAATACTGGCTCAAGTCCTTTTCTAGGGAGCAATTCAAGCTTCAAGGCCGAACTGCTCAACTCTACAATCTAGGTGATGCATGGGATATTGGGTTCCTGCTTGTTTTGTTGTTCTTATTTTTTCCGTTCATTTGATTAATTTTTGATATAACACACATTAAAGGGTTACATCAAATTGTAATTATTGCTGTTTCCCCATTGCCATTTATCGTTCCATTGTATGTTGATATTTGCAGTGGAAGTATTGTTTATCCATCAAATAATGGCACTTTGTGTACATGTGCCTTGGTATTCATGTCAGTTGATTGTTTTTCTTCCTTCGCTTTTGTTGCTGATTTGGCTGTTTTATACCAGTGGACATAGTTTCAATCTATTCCTTTTTCAGGGAGAAATGTTGCTCGTATTTTTTTCCCTTCTATCAAAATTGATTGCATTTGATGATGTGTTGGTTATTGGGAGTGTAGATATAAATGGGGATGCTCTCCATGCCAGCGCTGGACTCCCACCTGCTTTGAATGTGACTCATGCAAGAGTTGGCAAGTTGGAGATACAGGTGAGGATGTGTTTGATCATAATTAAATCACGTATTCTCTCTTAAGAATGGATGCTAAGAGTTGAAATCACAATTATGTCTTTATTTAGTTGATGACCTCCATTAGAATGCATTTTCACATAGATATTTAGAAGAAATTCATTTCTCTGGTCTGACCTCTTGTATGTGTTTCTCCATTGAAAGATATTTGCATGTTCCTCAGATTCTCTTGGTCCTTTACTTGTGTGTACTAGTTGTGTACAGTGTTTAGAAACTCGACTCGAGTTTCTCGGCTGAGTCCAAGTGGACTTGGCCAAGTCTTGCACAACCCAAAAAAGGCCAAAAAAAAAAGAAAAGAATTTTTTTTAAGAACATTTGAAAATAAGAATGAATGTAAAAGAGGTAGTAGAAGTCATTAGAGGTCTAAAAAGATGAAAACAACTCTATGAAAGACGGTTATTGAAAATTTTGATTTTAGATCTTGAATATTTCAGAAACATTTTAATGAGGTGAAAAATATGAAATAATGAAAGTTCCCAAAATCACCTTAAAAACGGTCAAAATCATCCAAAACACTAATTGTAGGTAATAAGATGGTGCTTTCCATTTTTTTCATTTTTTATTTTTTTTAATTCTTTTTCCTCCCTAGTAACTGTGGATCTCCCATAGGGTGAGTTTGAGTCCCTTGCTTGAGTCTAAGTGGATGTTGGCGAGTGACAAAACACTGGTCATGCAAAATAACAGATCATGATATTCACTTGCCAAGTATTTATTGATTGGTAATGTTGATCCTATGAAAAACCAGAAAAGACTTGAAGGTATCGCATTTGAATTTTGCAGATTTCTAGCATTTTGGATTTTAGATAGAAGAACTTCAAAGGTTGAACATTATATGTTACAATTTTTTGCTTGCTTTTAGGCTGTAAATATTTATGGATAAATAACAACTTTAAGTCAGAGCTTTACACAAACAAATGTAAAATTGTGTCAAATAGTTGAACATTAAAAAGTGAACTAAAAAGTCTCTTTTTTTCCCCTCTTTTTCTCTCCATTGATTAGTACATGTACAAGAGCTTTTTTTTGTTTTTTTTTTTTGGGGGGGGGTCAGGGGTTAAAAGGTGACTGTAATTTTATTATTCTAAATAATTGATATACAATTATGGATCATCTTTACAAATCTTAGTCTGTGCACTGGAGACTCAATAAGGAATCCTCTGTGAAGAAGGCCTTTAGACAATGCACCAAGATGCTAACTAATGTTGTTTTGAAATTCCTTCTTTAGCCAAGGCATGTGACTCTTTCTTGGTTTATCACCTTTAGAATTGTACTATATCTCTGATTTTTGTTAATCAATCCCATACCTCTTCAAAAATGCTGTTTAGGCATCAATGACAAGGCCTCTCTTTCTGGCCCAAGCCATGACAATTGCTGGAATCAACCTCAACTGCGATACGAGTCAAGCTCGGGCCAAGATTTCTAGGTTCAATGCATAACGACCTTGATTCAGCTTTATCGGATTTGTTGAGGTGCAGGGTAGTAGAGTAAATCATCCTACCCAAATGATCCCTTACCATGCCTCCTGCACCAGTTGGACCTGGTTTCCCTTGTCAACTACCATAGAAGTTTAACTTCAATGTGCTTTCCTGCGATGGAGTCCATTTATGTGGTCGCTCTTGTCTTCTTGCCTTCACATATGCAATCTACATCCATTGGTTTCGAAATCAGACACTGAAGATTAACCTCAAAACTCCTTGACTCTAGTCAAACATAAAATATGACTTTAGTTTATCCTTGACCTTGCCCATCCCCCATCCTTTATCTTTAAATCTTCTATTGCTCCTCTTCCTCTCTTTCCAAATTACCCATATAAATGCCTACAATGTTATTCTCCAAAGAGTGAAGCCCATAGTTGTTGGAGGCTGGAGCGGGTTCGAGAACGGGTTTGGTTTGGGAATGCCGAACCGCCATAGGGTGGAAGATCCTTGGGGTTAGGATCGGCATCTTTATATTCAACAAGTTAAGAAGCTAGATCTTAGGATACCGGGGAGAGAGATCCCATGTTATTGGGATCGATGTTTTGACTTGGAGGAAATAGGGATAATATATAACTTCAATGTTTTTTTATATCACTGCATGTATATCAGGTGTCTTTAGGGTTTCAATGAATTGGACAACAATATAGGTATGAGTATGCTTTTAAAGGGGAAAAGAAGAAAAGTGTCTTAATCATTCAAGGCAAAGCTTTCTATGTTCCCCCTACAACATAGAAGTTCTATCCTCCCCCTTATCCAACCCTCCATTTTTTAATGGAGGGCTAAGATTGCCCCAATCACAATGTACGTCTCTACACTATTTTATTTTTAATTTTTTTTTTATAAACTATTTTGACACCAAATTTTGGACGTCCATTCCTCTATTAATCTCGCACTAATGGAAAATATAAAAAAAATATTTTCAATAAAATAAAATGACCAAAAAATATCCCTGAAATTTTCAAGGGGTATTTTGGTCATTAATTTTTATCAAAATTATTGTTAATATTTTTTATACGTGTGCCTCAATGAGAAGATGGCACGTACCAATTTCATATTCAGAACATTTGTATTAAAAAAAACTAAAAATAAAATACTTTGAGACGTCGGATCTAAGATCAAACGGTGAGTGACTCTCTTGATAAAAAATGGACAGCTGGATGGTAGGGGGAGGATAGAACTTCTATGTTGTAGGGGGAACATAGAAAGCTTTCCCATCATTCAATCCTCCCTTGGCACCCCAAATGAAACACATTACATATTCATCAAGTTATGCAGTTCTTTTTTCCTACCCTTAAAAAATCAAGTTACGCATGGTGCAGAGAAAAAAAAAATACAAGTGAAACAACGCAAAAGAAAGAAAAAAGTCAAAAAAATGAGATCACTGTAGGGGTCTCCAAAGCTAAATATGTGTTAGCAAGAGAATCTCCTAGATGTCTCAAAATCTCTATGATTGTCATCTTGTGGCAATAGAGAAATGTCTGTATTAGCCTTTTGCCATGTGAAATGAAAAAGGATAGTTCTAGTTTCACAGAGCTTGGAAGCAGTGCTATCCATCAAATCATATTCATTGAATTCTGGATTTTTGTTAGTATAGAAGATGGGGCTTTAAATAAAATATCTGAAGTCTTGGCCTGGCCAAATAAGAATATGACCTTAACTTGATGCATCCTTTCCTGCTACATCCCTTTACCTTTTGGTGTCCTTGGAATCTCTATTGATTTGTTTTTGGACACTTCCCCAAATGATTGGCAATATGCATCTCACCTAAAGAATTCTTTACTACTTATGAAAATAAGTTGAAGCCCAAGAGGAATCAATTGTTTTAGAAGTATAAAATGAGCCTGGACCATTTACTGTTAGGCTAAATGTTGTTTCATTGTTAATCTACTTCCTTTTGATCGAAGCATTTACATTAGTTATTGGAATAAGGTGAGGAACATATGGAAGAAGAGAAAGAGCTGTCTAAGGTATGATTGCCCTCTATGATTACCATGTGATATTAATTCTTAGTATGGAATATTGCTTATGCAGTGAGAATGCTACTCAGATAGTCGGTTCCTGTAACGTAAGACGTTGATGTTTGGTTATTGGAATAGTTTACAAGACTATTAATTTATGGAGGAAATACGAGGACTAGAGATCGAATCCTGAGAGGGCTAATCAAGATGGTAATGACTGATGGCATATGATGGTTAATGATGGAGCATTATTTCACACTTCATGAGTGTGAAGTAATTGAACAAGGCATGTTGCTATGCAACATTGAAGTACAAGAAGATTATGAGAAGTTTTTGTAGAACTATTTCTATTTCAAATTTCAATTGAAATCTAAAGATTGATCAATCTTGAAGTCGCAGTTGGAAGAAACTGTAGACTCCAACCTTGTTATTGTACATTGACAGGTGATTCTTATTGACTTTAGTATATTGCAAGAATCAGTACAGCTTACACGAATGCAACTTGTTGCTTGTCGTACATGCTGTGTTTGTTGTAATATTGTTTTTTTGAAACTAATGTAAGAAATTATTATATCAATGGGTACAACAATGAATAAGGATAGATGTTTAGGTTTGTGCTATACGTGAGTTAACCTCTCTTGAAATTATTGTGTGCTTAAAATTATCATATTTGCACAAAGGTTGTGGTAGAACTGGTACTAGTGTGAATAATTTGTTGCTCTAGGACCGCAATCTAGCCGGCTGCGATTCTGATTCCTAAAATGATTCAGGTTCCCAGGCGTTTCCAACAACTATGGTATGAATGGCTTGATCTAAGTTTTGTTATGGATGGCTGATTTGGTGGACCAGAATTGCCACAAAATTTTAGTTTGGATGTAGAATTTGAGTGTCTCTTCATTTGATTGTAACGGAAATGGGTTGCATATCTTTTCCTTCATAATCAGCAGTGAGGGATCTTTCCTCCATGAGTGCTTGTACTGTCTTGTGCATCGATAAGTTCAACTCTGTGATCCATTGACATGGTTTTTCTAGAGTAGCTTTGTGCCATTACTGCATATTCTCAACATAGTTTTATTCTTTAATATGGGATGCCCTTATGTATAGACTTTATGAAGTTGTTTTATTGGTCTTATAGTAAAAATTGTTTACAATGATCTACTTTTGAATCAAGACTTTCCTGAAATTTCTGCAGCTATTCTACTCATCAAGTTTTCGATCATTTCTCTGCACGCTTTTTGAAATTTGTCCACCTATTCTACTAGCAATATATTTGTTCATTTCTCTGAATGTATAATCCCTTTGCCTTACTAGTCTTCTTTGTGGTGGGTTAATTTTTCAGCCTCTTTTATTTTGATATTCTGTTGTTGTATGCTTTCTGCTGTAGTTGGGATTAAGTTTTTCATATACCTGAACTCTTGGTGTTTGGTTTTCTCAATACTGTTTCAGCTGCCTTCGTTTTCAAATGTACAAACGGAGCCAATTGTTGTTCAAATTGATAAACTTGATCTTGTTCTTGAAGAGAATACAGGATCTGATCTTGGTAAAACTTCATGCAGGTAATGCTATGCACTATGTCCATTTAACCTTTTTTTGAAACTAAAGAGCACTGGAGGTGCAATACAATCATCATTGAGTTCCTCGACATTATCTTTTGTTATATTCTTACTTCATGCATGTTCCAATATTTACTTTTTGAAAATCACAAGTTTCAACAACTGAATTTTTTCCATGAATATGGTTTCAGTAATCAATCTAGTTCAAGCTCAGCAAAAAGTAGTGGTTATGGATTTGCTGATAAGGTATGACCTAGATAATGATGTGGCATATTATTTTGGTCTGGGTTGTCACAAAAGAAAAATTCAGATTTTACAATATAAGCATTATGTACTTTGTTAAAGTTGTTGGCTTGTTCAAACTTTATCCGTTGTTTCTCTGAAAACATTCAAAGCTAATGCAATTGATTTCCTGGAATTTTGTAGATTGCAGATGGAATGACTGTGGAAGTTGGTATAGTCAACCTTATGCTTGAAACTCGAGGAGGTCCTGGACGCAAGGGGGGTGCCACATGGTAATGTTTTTGCTCCTTTCTGGAATGATTTCTAATTCTCTGTGTGTTTGTGTGGCTGTAACTCTCGTTCATGTGATATAAGATGACCATCATTATGTTCTTATGTCTGTTGAGAAATATTGAAAGTACTACATTTATCAGATAAGTCTGGTCCTTTGTTTCATTGCATTGGTCCATGTAATATTGTATTCTTTGTGCTATACATGTGAAGTCCTCTGTTCAAGAAGAACTGGAGTTCTCAATTTATGTCTGTTGATTGAGAAACTGCCAATTTTCATTACCATTTTAATGAGGAATTGTGCCGTGTCAATCTTTCCTTTTCCTGTTTACTGTTGAAAATAGAGCTGCCTGTTCTGCTCTTACTATTTATGGGTGAGTCCCATTTACTTATTTCTTAATAACCCCCTTCCCTAATGGAGGTGTTGGATGTCCAAAGGAGGCTGTTCCGTTTCTAGAAATGTAAATGGATTTTACTAAATAAGCATGGGTCACTCTTTGAAGTGGTGCATAGCTTCAGAAATAAAACTCAGGGGACTTTATATTGATTAGAGGAAGTCAAAAGAACAGCGATGTAATACACAAATACTTTTAAGTCTAAAATAGTTAGGTGATTTGGCTTTTGATATTTTTAAAAAGAAAGGCATGTCAATGTGAAATAACAGCATCCCATACATAAACCTTGGATAAAGGACCTATTGTTAAACATATAACAATGACATTGTTCTGTATTCTGACTTCCCTCATCTGGACTGGGTGCTGAACCAACTCACAAACCCCCTGTGCCTGGGTAAGCCTATGAAGAGCCTCTGGAACCCAGTGGTGGAAAGATGTAAGCGCATATTGGATTTTTGGACAGCATAGTTTCTCTTATTTGAATGGTGGATGGCATTGATTACATCTATCCTTGCATTATATTGCTGTATACTTCCTTTTCTCTTGATGGTTATTTCCATATACTTATGTCCATATTCAGGTGCCTCAGCAGTAGCTGAGAGGCTAGGGGGGATGTAGAAATATTTCCTTTGGCATGGCGATAGCAGACAGAGAAAATTTTCAACTGGTTAAATGCATGCCCTGGCCAGAGGGAGTTTTAGCTTCAGACATTTCTGTCAGACTGATCGAGCTCTTCTAGGGAAAGCTACATTGGCGGATGGCTATGGAGGAGAGTAGTCTTTAGGTTGAGGTTCTTTGGGGCAATCATGGAAGGGTGGGTGGCAAGTGGGGGCTCTGGGTAGGTCCTCGAGGACATCAGAAGTGTGGAGATGGATTGCTAATGTAGGGAGTGGGGTCTTTGTTTCATGCTAGCATCAGGTTAACGGGGTGTGAAATGGGGTTATAGGGTGAGGTTCTGACATGATGTATAGCTTGGAGAAACATCTTCGCCGTCCCATTTCCTGGAGATTTCTTGTCTAATTGTTGAGCCTTCATTGTAGGTGAGACTGTTTCAAGGTGAGGGGTTAAATGGTAGTTTGGTGTTCAGAGTTTGGTTATTGAATAGTAATACATGGTTATTGAATAGTAAGAATAATACATATATATGGAAAAAACAAAAGAAATGGAAAAAAAAGGTTAAAAAGGAGGAAAAAAGAAAGAACTTTTCCTCTCTTTTTAAATATAAGTTTTTACAAAATTCAATACTTTTGTGTTTATTTATAAATTTGTAACTTATATTTCTTTTTAAGTTATATTTACACTCAAGCATAAATAAGCTTTATAAATAATACAATTCAAACAAAAAGCTACGTGGAATCCCATATGATAATAAAGTGAAGATGGTTTTGTTTTGAAAATGTTGCCATATTTTTGCTCGCTCTAATACATATAGAGATATGTGCCTTTTTATCTCTACATCATGCAGCACTTATCGATCAATGTTTGAACACACATTTATGCATTTATGTGTTACTTTTTGATGCAATTTGTACACGTGAATTTGTTACTTTGCTTTTTTTGGTCAGAGCAAAGGAGTGTGCCTTATCCATGTTTGTGTATGCCTTGTGCATGTGTGTATTTGTACTTTATTTTTTTTTGTCTGATTTGAAAGTGCTTATTGGCAGATTTGAAAGAGCTCATTAGTTAAGCATTTTGACGTGCTTTACATTGATCATTTCCAGAGCATGGTTCTCACTCTTCTTATAGAGCTAAAACTTCAATTGTCATGGCTTTCTGATGTTTTATTTGTTTAGCATTTTGGCTTATATCAACATAACTCTTTAGAAGTCCCATGTTAAGTTTGCTATATATACAATTTCATTATGTTATAATCATTTTAATCTTCCTCTTCTGGCAGGACTCCTCCTCTTGCATCTATAACTATACGCAACCTTTTGCTATATACGACAAATGAGAAATGGCAGGTATCAATTGTTTAGTTTCTGCAAAGGATACATTTGTCTAAAGATTACATCTCCATTTATTTCTGAGTTCTAGTTTGCCTGAACATATTTTCTTGTTACAGGTTGTGAACCTCAAGGAAGCACGTGATTTTTCTGACAATGAAAAGTTCATATATGTTTTTAAAGTAATGTTCTATGTCATCTGGTCTTTTGAAACCCTCTCTCCTGTAGTCAATGGCAGCATGTTTGAGACCATTAGTAGAGTGTTGTGTTTCCTAATCAGTATGGTTTCTCCAGAAAATGGAGTGGGAGTCATTGTCCATTGATCTACTACCACATCCTGATATGTTCGCTGATGAGCGGCTGACGTCTTCCAATTCCAGAGACACAAGCCGGGATGATGATGGCGCCAAACGGCTCTTCTTTGGAGGGGAACGGTTTCTGGATTCGATATCTGGACAGGCTTATGTAATGTTCTTTATAAGCATTATGTTTAGCCGCATTTTCTCTTTGTAATATCTCTATTGTTTCTTTTGGTTTTGAACAGCCTGCTCTCTCTCTGAAAGGTTGAAATATTAGGCTTCTGAACTTTTTGATCCTGCATTCAGATAACCGTGCAAAGGACAGAACAAAACAATCCATTGGGGCTTGAGGTTCAGTTGCATATTCCGGAAGCTGTTTGTCCTTCTTTAAGTGAGCCAGGTGTGTGTAGAAATGAATTATTGTCCTAGACTTAATTGATTGTAGCCTCTTTTATGTGAGTAGATTAAGTGGTTTCTTTGAGAAGTGATACATTTCTTATATGTGTTTGCTTTGAACAAGCAGGCCTACGTGCTCTTTTGCGGTTCATGACGGGGTTGTATGTGTGTTTAAATAGGGGAGATGTGGACCCCAAGGCACAACAGGTTCTTTTATTGAATTTGTAATTTGAGTATCCTGTGTAGACATGCAGAAAATGGCGCTAAAATATTTTTTCTGATATATTTTCTCAATTTCTCATAAGAGCCGGTTTTAGACATTCCTAGGAGACTTATTATCTTTCTGCCTTTGGCAGCGGTGTACTGAGGCAGCAGGGCGCTCTTTAGTCTCCATCATTGTAGATCATGTATTCCTCTGCGTGAAAGATGCTGGTTAGTCACTGTTAAGATTTGTTTGCCTGTTTCTGTTTGTTTCCATTGAGGAATCTCTGCTTCTCGTTATGCTGTGACTATACTAGCTAAGAAATTTATTATCTAAATAAGTAAGCTGACCATTATGATTTTGTTATTAGAATTTCAGCTGGAGCTTTTAATGCAGTCACTCTACTATTCTCGGGTAATAAATCCACTAATCATGGTGTGAACTTTTATGATGAGACTCATCTTTAATTAATGTACCTTTTGCTTTTGTTCTCCTTTCTTCCAGGCAAGTGTATCTGATGGAGAAAATACAAAAAACATATCCCGAGTCATTGTTGGTGGACTATTTTTGAGGTGCATCTCCAACCATTTTTCCTCTTTCTACCTATTGCTTGTATTTGGTTTGCTGTGTGATGAAGTCTCAACTTTCATTGTAGCTTCATGGAGATATTATAGATTGCTCAAAACATCGAATCCCAGCTTAAAGCATTTTTAATGGGAAGTTTAATGTTTTGCCTAGATTTAGAGTTTGTAGCCTTGTAGGTGTATATGTCTATATCAAAAAGCAAATTTACTTACAAATTTTAATATAACTGATTGTGCCTGATCTCTTAGATTGGGCAATCATGCTCATCACATGTTGCTTGTGTAATATTGATTTCTCACTTTAACCAGACTTTTACAAAAAAAAAAAAAAAAAAGAAAGAAAAAGATTCCTCAATTTATTGCAAACTGAAGTTGCTTGTTTGAGATAGTTTACTACATGGAACATGAATAATGTGTCTAGGGTTCTCCTAATGATTGGTGGCAATTGTCAGAATTCGTAAAGCGTGTATAACCACTACTGGCTTCAGAATCAAAGTCTATTGCATATCTTATTATAAAGGTTAAGTCTTGATTCCATTGCTAGCCTTGAATTAGAAATTATAATCTTCGATATGAAAACCTCATCTATTTCAAATAAATACTGTGAAATTCATTTAAGAACCTTTTTGCTTTTAGCTATGGTCTGTATATTACCCTTAGTCCTAACTGCTATCAGACCAAGACTATTTGTTAAGGAATGCTACATGATGGAAGTAAAAATTATAAAACCAGACATTTTGTTGCGTCAGTGTCTTACCTGGAATTGTTTCCTCTCCATGACATGTGACTGTGAATGTCTCAGTCGACAGTCCAGCAAAATAAATCTTTTCCCACTTTGATATGGGTATCCTAGCCAATCGGATTTGGATGTTTTTGCCCAATGTTATTTCACCAGAACAGAGGGCCATCACAAATAGTATTCAAAGAAAGACCAGGGGATCAAATCTGGCCATAAAGTTGGATGTGGTAAAGGCATTTAAACTGCCGGGAATGATGTTATGAGAACGTTTTATTTTGGGAGAAATGGTTTTTTGGTTTTCGCTGAGGGGGATAAGAGATTCCTTGATAACCATGTGAACTTCGTGGATCAGTTTTGTTCTTTATTGGGTGAATTATCAATAAGGATAAGAATTGCTTTTACAGGATAAAGCTTAGGCTGGAACAAGTTGGGTTTATATATTCATCTCTGGGGATCGCCCTAGGATCTTCACCGGTGAAATATATATGACAGTTCCGATGGCTGCCTGCTGGATGGCTTCAAGAATGATGAATTACATTCCTGATAAGAGGATCAACTATAGGGTGTCAGGTTGGAAGAATAGAACTCCTTTAGCAGGGGATGTCTTGTTTCGGCTAGGATATGACCTTCAGTATACCTGTCTATGCTCTCTCTGCTCTGTACCTAGATGTATCTTGAAGGAGATTGAGAAGTCATTTCTTTTGGTCTGGCTCGGGAGCTCAGAATGAGGATCTATTGGGTTTCATGGTACTTAATATGTGGACCAAGAGAGAGATGTCTTGGGATATAAGTTGAGGGCATCAACCGGGCTGGTATTTGCAAACTAGCATGGAGGTTAATCACTAAAGAATGACCATAGACAAACTGCTTGAAAGAAAAATATGATGGAAACGCTTCTCTTTTGGTCCATGGCACTCTGCCTGCATGCTCCAAGGTTTGATGTGGGACTTGTGAGGCCATATCCATTGTACTAGCCATCCAAGGTGGAGCATTGATAATTGATCTTTGGTTAGTTTTCTCTAAATTTTCCAATTAGTGTACAGAAAATCAATTTGGCCAAGGTACACCAAGTTGAGTAACTCGTCGGAATCTGAGGGGACTTAGCCGAGTTAGGCACACCCCAAAAAAGTGAAAAAAAAGCATAAGGGTAAAAAATCTCTACAAAATTTTAGAAATCAGAAAAATTTAAATATTGATTATTGACAAAGTAGATTTATACCTTGTATATTTCAAGAAATTAAAAAAAGCGAAAATATAAAAGTTCCCAAATGATCTTAAAACTAACAAAATCTTGTAAAGAAGTATTTCTATTTTTCTTTTTTTTTGGATTTTTTGGCATTTTTATAAATTGTTTTTAGCATTATTTGGGCCTGACGAGTTGTACCCCTAACTTGCCAGGAGCTCACTTCACCCATAGGGCAAGGCTGAGTGGACTCGGATCTCCCTCATTGTATTTGAGACCCTGAATTTGAGTTTGAAAATATTAGAGTTTTGAATCTAATTGAAAGTGTTGCTCAGAGGTGGAACTTGCCTATGGTTTCATTCCCGATAATTCAAGCTGCTTTAGATAATATGGAAAGGGTTTTAATATTCTGGATGCCCACCTAAGATCTGTGCAGTTTGGAACCTTTGAATTCATTGAACTTCACTATCAAGGCTGCTTGGTGAGCTCCCACCACAATAGAAATGAATGGCATAAGCTCATCTGTTTTTTTATGCACGAACCAAGATGTCAGTGTTCTCTTGGCAACTTATAATATAAAAATTGCAGTGGTCTCTATGGATAGGATAAAAGAAGTGTCCTTGCTTCCCCATGCTTACCTATGTCATGGGTAAGATACTTTCGATCTTAGAGATGAGTGGCATAAACTCGTCTGTTTTCTTATGCACGAACCAGGATATCAGTGTTCTCTTGGCAACTTTTAAATGGAAAATTGCAGTGGTCCCTATGGTTAGGATAAAAGAAGTATCCCTGCTTCCCCATGCTACATATGTCGTGAGTAAGATACTTTTGATCTATTTTGGTTATGCCTGATGGCCTGAGAGGTCTGTGTCCTCTTGGTTGGACTCTTGATTTGTTTGTTGCCTAATGGAGACGGCCTGCACTTTATGCTAAGCATGTGGAAGAAAACCAGTCAGCCTCAAACCTGGTTAAAGGTAGGTTAGCTTCATCGTTCTTTTATTTGTGTGGAAATATGGTTGCCAAAGAATAAATCTAGGCATGAGGGGTTCTTTTCAGCCTGCAAATATCATTAAGAAAATCAAAATTGGATTACTGAAGTTCTCCAGTCTAATCCCAATGAAAGGGCATCTGATGGGAAGCTTTGGTTGCTTATTCGAAGTTGGGACTTTTTGCTTGCCCAGGTGGAGCATTAAGGATTGTGTAGATTCATTGGAGTCCTCCACCTTTTAGTTAGATTATAATAAACACAGATGGGTCAGCAGCACAGTTTGGGCCTTTCCAGAGGAGGTGGAGTTTTGAGGGACCACGATGGTGGGTTTGATGTAGGCTCCAGTTTTGAAGTTGAAATGAGAGCTCTTAAGCATAGATTACTCTTGGCTCATTCTCTAAATTACACTGATGGTTTCTGATATTCTTTATGTGTCTCATGGGTGGCTATTAACCACATTGGCCCTCTAGACCATGGTGGTCATCTATACACAAGCACCATGACCGGAAGACCTCTAGTGCTTCACATATTTACAGGGAGGGTAATTATGTGGTGCATAAGCTAGCACATCATGGATGGCAGTCTCATATCTTTCTCAGGATTTGATAAAGAGAACTGTGGCTAAAGGATAAAGGGACACTTAGTTTGGATTCCTGTTTAATACTTTTTTCCGGTTCCATTGTGCGGTTTTCCTTTTGGAGCCTATCCAAACTTCATTGTTCCGTGGTTCTCTGTAATATTTTGCAGTTTTTCAATAAATTTTATATGTTTATCAAAAAAAATGCAATCCAGTCTATGTGGTCAAAACTCATCTATCAGTCATGATAGGTCTTATAAAATCAACCAGAATTTGAGTGAGGGCTGTGCAAGATACTTTTCTTGGAAACAGCAAAGCTTTTTTGGGTAAATAAGAAACAGTGAAGTTGGTTGAATCAAAATGGCTTTTGCTAAATTACTAAGTACTGGACTCCTAAGAGCAATCAGAATACTCTGGGTATTTTGGGGTTTCCAATTTTATATTTTGAATTCATCAAGAAACACACCATATACATGTTGAAATTCCCTTTGCACAAGATGTAAAACATCACCACTGAGAGAAAAAGATGATTCTTTGTGAGGCTTCAATAAAAACCGTCACTTAAGATCTATATGTGCCTTAGTTTTTTACTTTGTCTCTTTGTCTATTATCAGTATAATTGGTTGGAGCAACATGCACATTCATTCTTCTCGTGTATAATGATTGGCTAGAACTAAGTTATTACTTCATAGTTCTAGCAGCTCCTTATACTTATCAAATCTATTAAGTGGTATTTATCAATTTGGTATGTACTATATACGAAACATAATGTTGACATCTACCAAATTACTTCATGTTATCCATTTTAATCTATTGTGAAAAGGTTCCAGAAGCTAAACTAGGATACTTGCACTAAAATGTATCTTTCTTTAAGGCATGATATCAAGTGTGAATGTGCAAACTGATTTTTGTTTTTAAGTACAGGGACACATTTTCACATCCACCATGCACCTTGGTGCAGCCATCAATGCAAATTGATAGCAAGGACTCACCTGATACTCCAGATTTTGGTACTGAGTTCCCCAGCAATTGACTGTATCTGCATTTGTTTTTAATCAAATTAAGAATCAGTTGTGTTTCTCGAGCGGGCATGATTATGCACAGGGCTAACGTCTTGCTTGTTTCTCTCAGCTGGTGAAGGACTATGGCCAAAAATCTATCCTCTCGGAGAGCAGCCTTGGCAATTACATGCCAGCATTCCTTTAGTTTTCCTCTACTCTTTCCAGCTCAATCCTTCACCTGCCCCGCCATCTTTTGCCTCACAGACAGTTATTAATTGCGAGCCTCTCATTGTAAGCATTGTAATGAAAAGTTCAATTTCCTTATTTCTTTGTTTGACTACATGGTTTCCCTTAATTTGATCATATTCATTGCTTTTCTTCACAGATAAATCTTCAGGAGAAGTCTTGCTTAAGGATCAGTTCCTTTTTAGCAGATGGAATTGTGGTAAACTCTGGTGCAGTTCTACCTGATTTCTCAGTTAACTCAATGGTATTTACGTTGAAAGAGTTTAATCTCACTGTTCCTTTGGATTCCGGATTGCCTGATGCAAAGCTCAATATGATGCCTTCTCAGAGCTCATTTGAGGGAGCTAGGCTCCATGCTGAGAATCTCATTTTTCATCAATCGCCAGCATTAAGGCTCAAGCTACTGAACTTGGAAAAGGATCCTGCCTGCTTCTGTTTATGGGAGAGTCAGCCAATTGACTCCAGCCAGAGAAAATGGACAATGCGAGCTTCACATCTAAACCTATCTCTGGAAACCAGTATTGGTGAAAAGAAGAGTCCAGATCTTTCTGAGTGGTCCACGGGCTTGTGGAGATGTGTTGAACTGCAAGATGCTTGCTTTGAGGCCGCCATGGTGACTGCTGATGGCAGCCCCCTGATAACTGTGCCTCCTCCTGGTGGTCTTGTCAGAATTGGTGTTGCCTGTGAGCAGTACTTATCTAACACTTCAGTTGAGCAACTACTTTTTGTATTGGACCTCTATGCTTATTTTGGACGAGTTAGTGAAGAAATAGCAAAAGTTGGAAAGATTAAGAGGCAGGGTAGGAAGGCTGGTTTGTTGAAAGGTGGAATGATGGACTATGCCCCTAGTGATACAGGGGTTAGTCTAGCACTGAACCACCTTCGGTTTCGATTCTTAGAATCTTCTGCTTCAATCGCTGATCTAGGAATGCCTCTCGTCCAGTTTGAAGGAGAGGATCTGTTTATCGGAGTTACTCATAGAACTCTGGGTGGTGCTGTAGTTGTGTCATCAAGCATACACTGGGAGCTTGTTCAGGTTGATTGTGTGGATTCGGAAGGCCTTTCAAGCCATGAGGTCAGCTTTATGACTGCACATGAAAATGGGCGCTCACAAATGAGACCCGTATTTTGGATTGATAACAGAAGAAGCAGGGTTGAGCAGAACAAGCATCCAGAGGCTCTGCCATTTTTGGAGGTAAACACGGTACATGTGATGCCTTATAGGATAGCAGATCCAGAATGCCATAGTTTGAGTGTTGTTGCAAAGGTGAGTGGAGTGCGTTTGGGTTGTGGGATGAATTATACTGAGGCTCTGCTGCATAGGTTTGGTATACTTGGGCCTGATGGTGGGCCTAGTGAGGGATTGTCGAATGGGTTGAAGAATTTATCGAGTGGTCCCTTGTCAAAGCTTTTGAGAGCCTCTCCCCATGTTGACGTTGATCATACAGATAGTAAGTTCTAACGCTGCCTTGCTTAATTCTTTTTAGGAAATTATGACAATACAACCTAAATTGCGTGATATTTGAATGTTTTGTTCTTGAAAAAACAACGAGATACTAACTTAGATATCTGTGTTTTTCTTTCTTATGTCTTTCTGCTTCAATGCTTTCCAAATATGCAAAACTTTTGAATCGTAGTTGTGTTTGTTATCATGATCAAGATGATTTTGATTATCAAAGACATGTGATTTTAAGTGTCCTCTTTCTTTCATTTCAGATGGAATTTCTGAAGACATAGGCAGCAATATGTTTTTGGAAGTTGGGAGGCCTGATGATCTGGATGTGTCTATAGAATTTAGGAACTGGTTGTTCGCTCTTGAAGGTGCAAAAGAAATGGCTGGGAGTTTTAATTCTGAATTTGAGCAGATTGGTAGAGAAAAGCGTTGTTGGCATACCACTTTCCGCAGTCTTGAAATAAAGGCAAAAAGCAGTTCGAAACACTCCAGAGAGATTATCAGTGATGAAGTGAACACATCCTTTAGGTACCCAGTGGAGTTGATCATTGTGAGTTATTGCTTATTTCTTAGCTCTTTTGGACGCAACCTGTGATAAAAGAAGCAAATTTGTTCAAATTGATATTCTTGCACATTTATTACGTGTGCATTATCTCACTTGCAGTTGAGTGAAAAGCATTTTGGAAAAGTGTTTTATGAGTCAGCGGACTCACTATTCCGCTGACTCCCAAATGTCTTTAAGATGAACTTCTACAACTAAAGATTCCCATCCAATGGATAAGAAAAAATTCTAAAAAAAGTACTATAAAGTTTATTTTATTTTAATTTATTTTTTATATTCATGATCATCGCAGTGTAGATCATGGATCTCTACAAATTTGGATCCAAGATCTATATAAAAAATGGGTGTTAGAGGGAGCCCGCACCAAAATAGTATGAGATGGGGGACTTATAAAAACCTGGTCCAAACATTTTTGCAATATGTGGTTTATCTATGCTGAATTGTTTATGGAGATGGAAACATATTGACCTATACACACTCCATCGAACCTTCCTCTCTCGGAATGTCAAGTTTCTGTTTTTCTGGTTCCCTTGTACTGGAATTTTGATGATAGATTTCCTACTCCTGGAATGTCAAGCTAGAGGTCTTAGAATGTTAAGTTGTCACTATTTGGTTTATGTACAGAATTTATCTTCATGAAATTCTTGGTTTACTATGTAATATTTTGAGTTTTGTTTCATATTTTTTAATTCCATTTTGGTTGCTAATTACAATTTTTCAGTATATTTGACTGTTGAAAGTTACCTTTTTTGCTTCAGGCTAGTGTAGAGGGGTTGCAGGCTATAAAGCCTCAAGCAAGAAATAGCATCCTTCAATCTGGTCATTGTTTTAATGGAACTGACGCTTACAATGAAGAACTAGGACTATCTAAACAACCTACTGGAGGCTGTAGTGGAATAGATCTTGAGACGCGCATGGTACTCTCTGAAGATGTTACAGGCTTGCAAATGGCTAAATGGGAAGTAGAGAGCTTGAAGTTCTCTGTGAAACATCCAGTGAGAAATCAAACCTTCTATGTAGAAAAGGAAAAGAAATCTGAAGCTTTTTACCCAAGGTTTTTCTTAATTGCCTAAGCTTGATAACTTCTAATTGTGATACAGATTGAGGCAGTAGCAACAAAAGACGAACTGGAGCACCTTGTCCTGCTATGTAGATTGGAAGTTGACTCCATGGGAAGAATTGCTGCTGGCATTCTGCGGGTCTTGAAACTCGAGGAATCCATTGGCCAAGCAACCATCAATCAACTT